TTGCTCATTTCGTCACAAGACCCATAAAATAAGCGTAATGGCCAGCCATTAGGACCGGTAAACATTAGAACCAAAATGGTGGAAATTGTCGTCTTAATCTTGCCGAATTGGACAATCAAACAATCGAATTATTCGCAGAATATTTTCTAGTGATGCACCGAATAGTGATTTTGCCGAATACCGAATACCGAACATTCGGCTACGCTCTTGGCCGAAGCGCCGAATATTTGGCGGCCGAATGTTCGGCAAAATATGTGTACATTTCGCGGGTGATATGTTACGACCTGATACATTACGGTGGGTGCGGTGGCGACACTGCGGGCACATTTGTTTTATTTGCGAGTAGATCATGTCACAACATGCATTATTTGTTCATTGCTACATCAAATTGCGTTACTAATTATTACTAAAAAACATCACTGTATCACTTTATATGAAAACTGTTCGCCTAGATTGGACGGCAGACCTTTACAAGTGGTGGTCAGCAAACGCAAAACAGTATCCAAGCCTGACAGAATTCGCTAAGATTTATCTATCGTCTCCCAGCAGTAATGTATATAGTGAGAGGCTATTTTCAGAAGCAGGTATAGTTTATGAGGAAAAGCGCAATCGTTTGCTATCAACAAATGCTGAAAAAATTGTTTTCATTCATCACAACTTACCACTGATAGATTTTAAGTATTAAATGTAATAATTTATGATTAAAATAAATACGTTTTTGAGTAATATGTGCGGTTTTTTTTTCATGATTTGGTATTCGGTATTCGGCCGAATGTTGCGTACTATTCGGCCGAATACCGAATATTAAAAAAAGTAGCCGAATAGGCCGAATACCGAATAGTAGCCGAATATTCGTGGCATCTCTAATATTTTCCAGAAACTAAAAAACGATAATGTTTTTGTTTTTCTGTAGGGAGATTCGGGAGGACCTCTGATGCTTCCGGCCGAGAGATCGACTACGGATTTATCACGATATTATATAATCGGGGTGGTGTCGTTTGGCAAGAGATGCGCCACTCCCGGTTATCCGGGAGTATACACACGAGTCACCGAATACCTGGACTGGATCGCAGACAACTTGGTTTAGAACACTGCCTTCTCTGTTATTTATTTTTTCCTTGTATCGCTTTATTTTAAAAATAAAATCGACTATTTCACGCGAAGGTGTCATCTTTCAATTCACATTCTTTAAGGTTCCGCCAAATTACTCTCAAAATTATTTGGGGTACGCAGGAGTGTTTCATGTGTAACAGATAATAAACGTTTCTATTATGAAGTAAACAGAAGTTATCCTCATCAGCCGAATAAGAAGTAGCCACAGTTACGTCACGTCATCGTCTTTTTTAACACTTTAGGCCTTGTTGGCACTGAGAGTGCCTTTTGGTAGCAAACCCATTATGGGTTAGTCCAGGCCTAAAATGAGGACTGTTGAGTTGTAAGGGTGAGTGAGGCCCGACTTACCCGGATGACCATACCTGTGATTTGAAAAATTCCTAAGGTTTTTCGACTCGTCAACATGTTTCTGGCAGGTGTTGACAACCGGCAGTCCTTGGACACGTGTTTAATAATTGTTTCGATTAAACTCTATCATTACTGACCGTATTATTTAATGTTGCTTTTTGAAGTAAGTAAAGTCCACAGTGTACCTGATATAATTTTAGCGGCGACAATCATTTTAAAAGATAATGAGTGACGTATGTGTGTAATTTTGTATCAGCAATCGTGTCGACACTTTCTATTCACGCTTTAGCAATTTAAAATTAAGCTAAAATTACACAGTGTCTTAACGGGGAGAAACAATGTGATTTTCTTGGCAATAATATCCAAATGTAACAGTACGCAGGGAGGAGCTGCACCACCTTCTGAGAGGTTCCACGCGGCAAAAGCAATATGGCTTCTTTGAAGAAAACAGCGAGTATATTTCAAACGAAAAATGAATTAATTCAGCAATTAACTTACAAGAAATCAGAGATAAAATGTACTTTTATCGTTTATAAAGTTATGAAATCAAGGCCCTTAGTCTCGAGTTTTTCGTGTTACAACTCTCAACGTGTTGAAGGTGTCACGTGGTACCATCTCACACACTCATGTACGTTTACTCACGTGTCTAAAACACGATCAGAAGAACTGATTGCGGGCGCGCTGTAGTATCCAGTCGACACATTATAACTGCCTCACACTGCGTGATGGACAGTAGAGGAAATGTGTAAGTATGGAATTTTTCTTGTACTTTCAGGTGCCATCGATATGCAGAAACAAGAAATTACATGGGGATAAGCCTCGTGAATATAGTATTGCTGCACGATATTTGCACTGTATAGCACTCATTACGATAGGAACCGATCAGCACTTATGGGTGCTGGTCACAAGACACCAGAAAAGATGCAATAGACTATTGGTTGGCTTCGATTAGACGGTCCTTGTAATGTCAAATCGGTAGTCTCGAGTTTTATAACTCACGTGCTTTCCCATCTCACCATGTAAGTTGCTACTCACGTTGAGTTGAGCATGTGAGATCGCTACATGAAAGCGAAAATGGCTGACAAATACGCTATTCTGATCGCAATCGAAGCGTTAGAAAGAGCCGAAAGTGTTGTTTAAGAAGGCAACGAATTTTTCGACTACGAGTAGATGCCATTTCTTTTCATGTCAAGTCAACACTAATAAAAAAAATTTAATTCATAACTGATAAAATTATACAGCAAATTTTTCCAAAAATAAAAAGAAGTATCTAATTCATCGAAAAATAGAATTAAAATAATAGTAAATTACAGTATATGTATAAATTATTAAAAGCATTGACACCATATTGAGATTATTTATTAATCAGAAGTGTTAAGTTCTGATTAATAAATAATGTTAAGTGTACAATACAGTACTTAGCCAGGTATTGTACTTGTCAAGTACTCGGTGCTTAATCCTGTCATTGTACTACAGTACAGTGTTATACCTGGTAAGTACTTCGTGATTCTTACACCGCTATTATTATTGCGTAATTGCTAGTTTATAACGTCCTGGCACAGAATGGTGATCCTAACGACACCTCAATGTAACGATTTGTCATCGTTTCAACTTTACATAAATAGACCCCTCTTAATTAGGTCCGAATACTCGACTGGACAGCAAGATCCTTCCGTTTTCTACGGTATTTCACGACAAAATCTTGGTCATTTCAACGTCGTTATTTCGGGGGGTGGTCTTCGAATAAATTCAACAACTTTTACGCGATGTTGAGTGATTACACCAAAGGTGTATAGTGTCGTCTTTTAGGTAGAGTCCTGGATTTTGATGGTTTCTAGTGACTTTTTCTTTACTCCACTAGATCTGTCCTACAAGTGTTTTTTTTTTAATTTTTTTGTTAAAATATAGCTTATTTGGGGTTACATCACTTTATTTTAAGGTTTTCGGGTAAAAAGTGAAATGGGAGAGATCGAGGAGATTTAAAATTTTGAGAATTTTTTCATTTTGTGAGGTCCTTTGACTGACTCGTTAGTAACGCGTCTGGTCAACGACTGCAAGCAGAAAAGTAGTGGAAATGACTGCGTTGGCCGCTAGAGGCGCTTCGAACGTTTGGGTTCTGCTACAGTGTGAAAACGGTAGAAGGCGTTTTATTTTAGTCGTTTGATCTTAGTGACTAAATGACTAGAAATCAATCTTTGTATTAATTAATTCATTTAGTTATTAGAATCTAATCGTTAAGGCATTTTAGTAATTTAGATTTTACTCATTTAATCATTAGCAAACATGCCAACGTGCTTTGTTCCCGGTAAAATTCCGAATATCCTGGTGAAAAGACGATAAAAGGCGTTTTTTTGAAAATTCGTTTGGAACGCTGGAGAAGATTCGTTTCACACGAAGATTAAAATTAGCCGCAAAGACTCGTGTATGGAACGACCATCTTGAGGATCAATTGTTAATAAAATCGTTCGGTCACACAATCGATGGCCAATTAGTGCAGATTGCACGCGATAGATGGACACTTTTCCATCTAAATTCCCCAATTGTCCATCTATGCATTACATTGTCTCGAAAGCGACTATGTCCATTGGAGAGAAAAGCGCAGTTGTCTCCATGAAGAAACAACTTGATCCCTGGTAGAACACGTGTTTTACTAACGAATGCGCGTTGTGGAATCTGCGAATATCTGAGGTTTGATATCCGCAGGGGTGAATGAAAAATGATTGCCACAAAAAGGAGGAGACCAGTACGATATATTATTTAACAAACTTTATGCACCAAATATATATTTATAATTGAATCACAATACGATAGGTCGGCTTAAGCCTGGCACGTGGCAGCTTACACAAAGCACAAAGGGTCTACACAAGACAATCGAAGGACACACCTTCACTGTTGCACGCCAGGAACCAGAATGAATGGTTTCCGGTTCCCCACTATATATAACTCCTCCACCACTCTCACCGTGCTGCCACACAAAAACCGCCCAAAACACAAATAAAACCGCGCGTACAGCAATCGCGACGATCGTTTACNAATATATTTAAGAGTTTACGACCACTGTGATGGGTGAGACGTTGTTGAAACAACAAAAGTTATGCATTCCATCACATACATAAACACTGTCGTAATTCGCCAAGTGCAAATCAGCAAATTCGTAAAATTTTTTTTTATTTTGAACAATCCAGATAATCGAAAATCCGGATAATAGAGGTCCGGATAATGGAGGTTATACTGTATGTGGAAAGAAGTGATCCACTACCCTGTACTTGTAATGACAGTGACAGAAGTACGACGACGTATACAAACTCACATTAACCGATTAACGTATACATTTTTTTTTTACACGTGAAATAAATCAATAAAACACAATCAAAAGATTATAAAAAATTTCAAGTTTGGTATAGGTGTAAGAAAAAGTCACGGCGTTGACCATTTTTGTCAATTGTTTATTTTTTTTCTTTTGTTAGTTTCTTTAAAATGTCAACAAAAAAAAAAAAAAAAAACAAAAGAAAGATCCGCCGAGCGCCTCTAGTGGCGAGTATTCTTTCTGGCAAGTGGCACGTGACTTGAAGAGATGGCGGCTGCCTTAGGTTCCATAGAGATGAAAGTCGTTCCTGTGTTGAGAGGAATTTTCAGAGAATTGAGGAGAGCTACTAAAAAAGTGAGTGAAACTTTACCTTTTCTGACGTAAGATTTTCCAAGTACAACGACTGAACTATCGCAGTGTTCTTATTAATTAATTAAAATACTTAAAACCCACCAAGGGCAAGTATCGAACTGGTTAATGTCCAGATACGTGGACCGTCATGGCGGCACTTCCTGTTTCAGCCTCGAAACCAGACGGTTTGCAGACGTGTCACGTGACGCACCGACGCACGTTCTAACCTAACCTAACCTATTCTAATAAATTAGCATAATTATTACCAATTATATTATTAGAATAGGTTAGGTTAGGTTAGAACGTGCGTCCCCACTGTTTGCTTTCTTGTCTTTGCTGGAATCGGCGATCAGCCGCCATGAGTGTACGTATCTGGACT